ACTGCACTGCAAACGGCCACAGGAAATGGGGGGCAGCCGCATGGATCATGGAGGTACGAGCGACCTCCATGACTAAGCCAATGCGGCGCTCAGCAACCACATTCTGCTGTGGAGAGGCCAGAAGCGTGAACGTCTGGCGGATGCCGTGCTCCGCACAGTAGGCTGCCAAGAGGTTGGAGGAAAACTCACCACCCCTGTCAGAGTGCAGACGCAGGACGGGAAAGTCCGACTGGAACCGCTCGCGGAGCTGGAGACGAGCAGCGCGGATCCAAGGGATCAAAACATCAGGGACCTCACCCTTGGTGCGCAAGGGGAAGACCGTGGTGTAGCGCGTGTAGTCGTCGACGACCAGCAGGAAGTACCGCTCGTGGCCCTGTCCACGGACGCGGGCTGGGCCCCACACGTCCAAGTGGAGAGTCTGCAGGGGAGCCTCTGTGGGAGGGAACGAGGAGGAGTGAGGAGTGGCGCGCTGCCGCCCTTCGACACAGGGAGGAGCAGGCGAGGGTGGGAGGGGAGGGAGAACCCTGGGAAGACCAGAGACAAGGTACCGGGAGTGCATGCCACGAAGGCGCTGCACTGAGGGGTGACCAAGGCGGTGGTGCCAGAGGACGGTCTGGTGCGACAGGGTGCGACACGAGCAGGGGGCGGACAACTGACCTGACGCAGACGCAGACGCCGCTACCTGAGGGGACGCAGTGGTCAGTGTGTACAAGTCCGACCCCGGCTGCCGAGTGAAGGTAGCCAGGTGACGACCCGTCTGGGCACACGTGCAGTGTGTCACACGCTCGTAGGCAGGGGTGAACTAGTGAACACCCGCGTCCTGGAGCGCAGAACCCGCCACCAAGTTCGTAGAGAACGAGGGGAGGTAAAGGCCCGACAGGGTGCCGGACGGGATAGCAGGACAAGGGAGGGCAGTGGTGGAGGTCGCAAGGACCGGACCCCCGGAGGGGTCAGCCAGGGAGACAGCAACCGGTCTAGGGAGCTGCTCTAGGGCAGTGCGGTCGCGAAAGAAACAGCGGGAAGCACATGAGTCCAGTGTGAAGGTGTGCAGTGCCACAGTAGACGTAGTACCTGAAAGCGCAGACTCACAAGCACCTGAAGCAGCAGACTCACGAGCGCCTAGAGCAGCAGCCTCACCAGCACCTGGAGCAGCAGACTGGATACCGGGGTCAGGCGGCACACACAGGTGACAGGCTCCCTCGGCACTAGTAGACAATGCATACATTGCAGTGAGAATAGCATCATAGTCAAGAGCAAAGATATCTACCCTCTGCCTAAGCAGCTCCACCCAGTCGGGGAGCTCAGCGTCGTCGCCAAACTCTGTACGCCAAGCGTCGCTCAGACGGGCGAAGCAGTGAGACTCTGTGTGACCAGGCGTCCCGCAAGGCTGACCAGTCCGGACACCCGTGCGAATAACGTACAGGCAGCGAGCAGTACGCAGCGACCCTCTACTCTGAGCGTACCACTCACGAAGCTGCTGGGGCGAACGAGTCTCGCGTAGACGACGCTGCTGCGGCACCGGGCCACTACAAGAAACTCCCGAACTACGCACTCCAGGACGACTCCCACTACTGCCACCCCGACAACCCCAACTGGCGTACCACTCACGAAGCTGCTGGGGCGTGAGGGACACACGCGGACGGCCCTGGAGCTGCATCTGGCCACGCCAGGAGCAGCAGTAGAAGCAGTAGCAGCAGGAGCAGCAGTAGTAGTAGCAGCAGCAGTAACAGCAGTAGCAGTACGGGTAGGGACGTGGTCACCAGTGGTGGGAAGGGCAGGTGCACGACGGAGGCGACTGCGGGGCCGCTACAGCGGCAGGGCGGGGCCGCGACCGCGGCAGGGAGCTCCGCGGCAGTTGCTGTAGGGCGGGACCAGGCCGCGACGGCAGCTGCTGCAGGGGCGGCTGCTCCAGGGGCCAGGGGCGGCTGCTGCAGTGGCTGTTGCTCCAGGGGCGGCTGCTCCAGGGGCGGCTGCTCCACGGGCCAGGGGCGGCTCCTGCAGTGGCGGCTGCTCCAGTGGCCAGATGGCGGCTGCTGCAGGGGCGGCCGCTCCAGGGGCCAGGGGCGGCTACAGGTGCGGCTGCGCCAGGGGGCAGGGGCGGCTGCTGCAGTGGCGGCTGCTCCAGGGGCCAGGGGCGGCTGCTGCAGGGACGGCTGCTCCAGGGACCAGGCGCGGGGTAGGGGCGACGCGGCGGGCAGGGCGGGCGCGGGGTACTGCAGGGCGACGCGGCGGGCAGGGGCGACGTCGCGCGGGCCCCGCAGGGGCGTCGCGACGAGCGGGGGCGACGCCCGGGTCCCGCTGGGGCGGCGCGACGCGCAGGAGCCGCGCCTCGCGGGTCCCGCAGGGGCGTCGCGAAGAGGCAGGGGCGACGCGCGGGTCCCGCAGGGGCGTCGCGACGAGGCGGGGGGGGACGTGCGGGTCCCGCAAGGGCGTCGCGAAGAGGCAGGGGGTGACGCGCGGGGCCCGCAAGGGCGTCGCGAAGAGGTAGGGGCGACGCGCGGGTCCCGGCGGGCTGCAGCCGCCGGCGTGCAGCAGCCGCGGCGCGCGGGGTACAGCCTGCGCGCGAGCGTCGGCCTACGGGCGGCGACGGCCTACGGGCGACGTACGGGCGGCCTACGGGCTGCGTAAGGGCGGCCTACGGGCAGCGTACGGGCGACAAGCAGCCTACGAGTGGCGGCCTACGTGCAGGCAGGTCGCGGGCGGCTCGAGGGGCCGCGTGAGGCCGGTATGAACTGCGTGGGCGGCTAGCGGGCTGCGCGCGGGCGTCGATCAGGCGGCGGGCTGGTGGCTAGCGGGCCACGCGCGCACTGGCAGAGCACGGCGCGCGGGCAGAACGAAGGGCGGGGCGCGCGAGGGCACACTAGCAGAAAGAAGGCGCACGAGGGCGCACGAGCAGAGAAAGGCGCACGAGGGCGCACGTAAGGTAGGGCGCACGAGGGCGCTTCTAGCGGAATAGTGGGCCCGTAGTAGTAAGCGGTCTTAGGTGGCTAACCTAGGCTCGTGATACCATGTCAGAATGAACAAGAGTGACTGTACCCCATAGTAACTACCCCACTACAGCCTAAACCAACTGTAGCAGATATAACATTTGACAGACGCTACCTTAGTTCGCCGAGAGTTTTGAAGGTGGCAATCCGAAGGATTCCCGGGTCGCTCTCATACCATGTTGCGATTCAATGTTAATCGCCCTCAGGATCTCCCCGGGAAGGTTCGCAACAAGATGTGTGGTAATGGTGGGCCCTTGAGCTCAGATCAAAGTGCATGTAATTAAATGAGATAATAAAAGCATGCAAATACATTTGTATAAATAATAGTAGAGGGGAATACGGGACGACCTAGACTAGCCATGTACACTAACGGGTACATTCTCTTATTACAGCGAAATCCGACCGTGCGACTCAATACGGTTACGAACCGTTCGGTCAGAATCCTCGCCACTGCTGCTGCCTGATGCTGTCACGGTACAGATGCCTCGTAACCGTGCGCGACTCTTCACGTCATCTTCATATTCGTTGTTGTGAGACTCGATTGCTAATGTCATGACTGTATAATGACTCTTGATGTTTTAATATTCGTAACACCCTGGATACATTGCACCCTAGATAAATAGCACGCACTCTAAGTACGGCAACCATGTTATCACATGTGCCTTATATTTAAACGAAATATATTGCCGAGGCTTTGTGTAATTATGGAGATCGAGGAGTTAGTTGGAAGACATTCCCATATTATCTGAAGTGGTTATTGTTGGCCGGAACTTGTTTTATTTGATATTTGGAGCAAAAGCATGGTAGCACATAATTGCATATATATTCTAGAGTTCAGTTTATGAAGGTGATATTGGCTTTAGGTGCAATATTGATGTCATGAATATTCTTGTTTTCATGATTTCATGATCCTTAGGATGTCTCTGATAATGTCACGACGTTCGTATACCGAGCGAGCGGAGAGAACTTCCTGCTGGAGGCACGAGGGCGCGCGGGGCGTCACTCTATACAAGGAGCGTCGTCTCGTCAAGCTCTTTTGAATGGGTTGGCCTCCAAGGGCAGTGTGTGAGGGGCCTGGGCTCACGGACCCTTGCTCTTCTGACCAATCCCCAGACTGCTTTCAGCTGCCTTTGGGGCAAGGCCTGACCAATCCCGAATGAGATTGAGAAGTCTTTGGCTTTCGAGCCGCATATTCGCGGCTCGTTTCGAAGCGCAGCTGGGAATTGATACAGAACTGGGAACGCGATTTCATCCCAAACCCCCTTCAGACCACGGCTGAAATAGAGTGGGCAGGCGGTGCGGTTTGTCTGAGAACCTATTCGACCAACCAACGACGGGCAAGAATACAGTAAATCACAGTCAGCATGCGGCTCCATTGATGTCCCTCCCCAATCCCACCCAATCCAAGCATCCTGCCCCTCTAACAGTGAATCCCGAAGCGGCTCGTGCTGGTCAAGAGGAATTCAGCGGTGGTATTTCGTTCCGGCCTTGCTCTTAGGTATGGTTTGTTTTTCCGTCCACTACCGCAACTCGAACCCGAACTTCATTGTGTTAACTGCTGCTAGAAATCTGAAGATAATAATAGCTAAACACGTTACTCAGCTAAATATTTGTCATAGCGAGGGTGCACCCCAGCCCTGCATTACCAGTTGTGGGCACACATTTTTCTCGACGAGAATGAAGGCTCTTCAGGGCGCTTTGCAATAAGAAATGACTGGCAACACAGAGAGCACCATCTTGAGTTCGTTGTCGTAGGATAGAGGCTCGCCGCCCCGCCGCTTTACCGTTGATGTTTCTCGTCCAGAGCATGGTGGTCGCACCACTAATGGAGTTCGCTCATCTCATCCCATCTTGTTTCTTCTGTTTGAGCTCTAGTTTAGTCGAAGCCATGAAGTAACAAGGATTCGTGTGGTGCGTTCACGTCACTCGTAGCGAGCAACGGACGACGACCACTGCATGTAGGGCAACTCCTCTCCGCTATGTCGATTATCACTCCCTCGTAACGCAATGCGAATGGCTGTTGACTTAAACTGCGAAGCATCGGCGGGCAGTCCGCGCTTCGCACTCCACGAGCACGTTCCCGACGCTATCCCATCCGACTGCCCCGACGAGATTATCGAAAACGACGAGCTCCTATCCCCAAGAGAGCGCGCCGATGCTACTTCCGGCAACGCCGCATTAGTTGCCGCCCATGTCGAACTCTCTGACCACGACAATCCAGCGGAACACCCGGGGAACGATGACTATGCCTGCCCGAAGAAGCGCGCGCGCGCGTCTCGCAAGGACCCAGCGGTGCGCGTTCCCGTGGGCACGCGCGTGCGCGTGCTGTGGCCGCGCGACGGGCAGTGGCACGCGGGGCGGGTCACCAAGTTCGACGCAAAGAAAGCGCTGCACACGGTGACGATTGACCGCGGGGAGTCGAAACGGATTGACCTGCGCGTCGTGCCATGGAGCATACTGGTCGAAGGAGCCGTGCATCCCGGGAGCGGTCACATGGACATCGGACTCGCAGGAAACGTGCACCTTGGCGGTGGCAGCGTGTGTCATAGCGAGGGTGCGTATATCGCGGACGGTGTGAGTTACTCATCGAATCAGCACCACAGCGGCGCCTCACCCTGGCAGGGACACCATCCGCCCGCCTATGGCGGCTCCGTGCCAGTTGCACCTCCCCCGCTTCTGCCTCCCCCGCCTCCTCCTCCGCTACGGCTCGAGCTTCCGTGGCAGGCGCAAGCGCAACCTGCGCCGTACCCCGCGCAGCAAACGCAGGGACAGCCCGCGGGTAGCCATGGCCAGTACAACGCTGTGCAGCACATGCAGGTGACGCAGCCGCTTGCGTACCAACAGCCTAGTTACCAGCAGCCCCAAATGCAGCAGCCACAGCAACGGCAACCGGCGCAGGAGCCTTCCCCCGCCCCCGTGCAGCAGCATTACTACCCGCAGGAGTACTCGCAGCAACAGAGCTACCAGTACGTGGAGCATCGACAGCAAAGCCTGTATCCGCAGCAGCTGGGCAGTGCGGCAGCGCACGCGGAATACACAAGCGCGCCCCCCATCATTCCCGCGGATCAAACAACCCGCCCCTCACCCGCGCTGCTTCACATCCCCGCGTTCGCTTCCGCGCCACCGTCAGCGCGACCTGAGGACGCCCCTTGCCCCTGTTGCCACCGGCGCAACCCCCCCGCCCCGGTATCGACCGCGCCCCTCGTTTATAACTCCCTTCCTCCGTCTGAGGTTCCGCCTCGTAATAGCGCACCAATGCTTTGGAGGGGAAATGGCGCTCGGCCTGCTTCCCCAGTCATCAGCGCGGCACCTACGGGGGGAACTGCGGAAAGCGCTTACGCGGGGGAGAGCGGAGCAGGTATTGGCGCAGGGTCGTGCGGGCATCCTCACTATCCTTGCGGGAGCAGCGGGAGCAGATGGACTGGCGGACGCGGACCCGCGGGGGGGCCGCTGGCGGGATGCACTGGCGGGGGACATGCGTGCAGTCACGGCTGTGCGCAGGGGTACAATTGCGCAACGTATGAGACGCAGCAGCATCCCATGTACGAGGAAGGCGCACGCGGTCTTGTATCGAGTCAGGTGCATCCGCAAAGCTTTGCGGAAAGCTCCCCGCTTCCCCGAGTCGTGCAGACAGCCGCATGGTTCCCCTCCCCCGCCGCCGCGCAGGCGCAACGTCACCGCAGCGTTCCCCGCGTGCCCCTTTCCCCCAGCTGCTGGACTTACGGCGATCAGCGCGCGGGACCCGCGGCGGCGGAGCATCCCGCGGAAGCCGGCATGCAGCAGCCGCGAATTGGACCGGACAGGCGCGGGTATAACCGACGTGATGCGGTTGTAGTCGCAAGCAGCAGTGGCAGCGGCGCGGATTCGGACAGCTGCAGCGGCGACGGTGACGGGAACGGTCGTTGCGCGGGCGTGGTGTGGCCCGTTACGAGCGACGAGATGAAAGCCACGGTGGCGGAAATGTCCGTGGCGGTTCTTGGGGGGCAGGTGAACGGGCAGATGGCAGAGTCAGAGGATATGCGTAAGCCGGCGAGAAAGATCGAAGAGGTGAAGGGTGGGGAGCTTGCGAGAAAGAGAAAGAGGGAGGAGGTGTGCGGGGAAGCAGGCATAACGAGCGAGAAAAGCTATCAGCGTGCGAATGTTGTCACATGCGAAGCGGGAGAGATCGCAGCGCCACCGTCAGCGAAGACCGAACTGGCGGATTGCGACATGGAGGCTGTGGAGCTCATCCTGGCCGTTGCTCACCAGCTGCGCGACGGCAAGGAGTCGCAGGCGACACAGCATGCGACTGAGGGCGGGAGGGAGGAGGAAGGCGTGCGAAAGCTGGACGAGGATAGAGGCGCGGAGGGTGAGGAGATCGAGGGCAAGGGCGAGGTGGGGAGCGGTGGAGGAGCAGCAGGTGCGACTGCTGAAGCATCTAGAGTTTCAGAAGCAGGTGCGACTGCAGCGGCGCCAGCAGCAGAAGACGACAAGCAGAGAGTCCCGGCGTGTTCCTCTGGTCCCTTCCCGCCTCTGCACCCCGTGGGTGCCACCGTGCACATGGCTCTTGCGGGGCCGCACGGCTCTCACACTCACACTCCCGTGTCTCTGTCTGCCAGCTCCGACAGTGACTGCACGGGATGCGGCCACAGCAAGCCTGGCGCATGGGGCTTTGCTATGGGGCCCTGTGGTGGGTGCGGGGCTGGTGGGTGTGGACGCGTGGGTCAGTGCAAGGAGAGGCAAATGAACTACATGAACAGCCAGCAGACCCAGCAGAACCAGACGTATCAGCAGCATCTGATCTGTCAATTTGACCAGGTTATGCATAACCAGCACGATTGTTATCAGCAAAACCAGCAGCAATATCAGCAGCAGCAGCCGCAGCCGCAGCCGCAGCCGCAGCAGGGCTATCAGCAGCAGCCTAACCAGGAACAACAGCAGCATGGCCAAGGCTTCCCCCTGCCACCGTGCTGTGGCACGCATCCGCACCAACCGAGGCGCAGCGGACAGCCTATGACGACTGTGTGTGCTCCGTCCCAGCCTGCTGGTCTGTCCCCTGCCACTCCTCCTCGGCTGCTTGATGCTCGTGCACCGGGCACAGCAGTGCGCAGCCAGCTTCCTCAGTGCTCTCAGCAGCAGCAGCAACAACCGCAGCAGCAGCAACAGCAGAGTCAGTACCAGCAGCACCAACAGCAGGATTCAGTGAGTGGCGGCTGTGGTGCAGCAGCAGCAGTAGCAGCAGCAGCATCCCCATCCATGCGGTTGTGCCTGCCCATGGCTCTCTTCACCAGCACAACTACTCCGCCACCCATGCCCCCTTCTCAGCACACTCCTCCCACGCCCACCCTCCTCCCCTGTTCCACCACACCATCCATCCCTCCCATGCTCTCCCTGCCTACGTCTACACCTCTTCCTGCACCCCCTGTAGCTGTTGCTCCTCCCCCCTCTGCTCCTGCTCCTGTGCCTTCCCCCGTAGTTGGTATGTTAGGCATTCCTCCCCGCTCGTCCCCCCGTGGAACTGCAGCTCCTATTCCCCTGCTCGCCATGCCAACCGCCCTCGACCTCTCTGCACCTTCTGCTCTTCCTCCCCCTCCTCCTGGCTTTCCCGCTCCTGCCGCTCCTGTCACTGCAGCCTCCCCACAGGCGCCTCAGCCTGTCTCCGCATTCCAGTCCCGGCCTTCCCCTCACTGCCTGCAGCTGTTGCCACGTCGCCAGTCCTCGCCCTCCCTGCCATGTGCCCCACTGCAAGCTGCTTCTCCCCAGCAGCCTGCTCTGCGCCTGTCCCTGCCCCAACGCCTGAATACCCAGTCACCACCAGCTTCATCCCTGCCTCTTCAACGGCCCTCCCCAGCGTCATCCCTGCCATCAACCCGTGTTTCTCTCCTCTCCCTGCCGCCCACCCTTTCTCTCCCCAGCCCGGCTCTTACTATCCAGCCACGGGCTGCCTCTGTAGCTGCTGCAGCTTCACCAGGGCCTGTCAGCACTGGAAGCTCACCTGCTCTTGTGCCCAGGGCGCACTCTACTCTGCTGCGCCTGCCAGGTCACTTGGCTGCCTCCCCTCAACCTCAGCGCGTTTGCTCCCCGTGTTGAGCAATCACTGAGATCAGACCTCCCTTATCCTGCGTCACAAGGGCCGTTTGGAACCTTAATCCCCCTCACTCCCTAACGCTGCCTCGTGAACTAGATAACTGGCCTTTGGTGATACACCTAAGCTACCTCCCGTACTGCTGCTGGAATCTTCCCTGCACTTGAATGCTAGAGCATATTTGTGTATTTGTAACTCGTGCCGCTAGCTAATTTTAGAATTAGCTACGCTTGATTTGTGCTAGGTAGAGTGTTGTAGTTTAGGGTTTAGGTTGGTAAAGGTGGTGTGCTTGTAGGTAGTGCCTATTGGCTGTGGTATTTCAAGAGTGTATTAATCTGATTTAATCCGTATGTACCAGTTTGGGTTTGCGCCTAGAAAGCTCCATTGTCGGGCGAGCCATGCCCGCTTCCAAAACGACAATTCCGAGGTTGTGGTCCAACCAAGCAACCAACCAACAGCACCCCCACGCGCACCTCCTCCACCCTCGAGCCTGTCCTGTGAAATGAGCTTCTGCCGCCGTTCTTTCAGCCATGAAGAAATACCTGTCAGCGCATCCTTTCAGCTATAATCTAGGTCTCCAGCTCACGTTTCTGTTTGCTCCTCGCTCCATCCGCTCCGATGACCTGACGGCTGGTTTTGTTGTATGACACGCCTAAACCGGAGACATCGTGTTCTGCTCGCGCGCGCGTCGTACGGTAGTGATTGCATCTTATCCTAGACTGCGCTCAGGTTTCCAAATTAGGCTGGTGCTCCTTAGTAACTAACAGCACGAATTCACTCTCATAACCATAATCCTGTATCCCCGCTCTACTAAGCTTTCTAGCCAAACATACACCTTCGCCTAACCAGTAGTCATCACTAAACAATTGTCTTCGCCCGTCGTCCACGTTTCATTGACTCTTTCCATTCATATTTTTTCTACCACCACAACCATCTCCAGCCAGACGGCTTGAAGTCTATTCACACCTGTTTAGGAGTTGCATCCAACGCTGTCCCGCGAAGGCCTTTCTTACACCTGCGCCGTGTCTGTGTCCACATGTGCTCATGCGCTCATGCGTTACGAGTCGAGACTTTCTTAAAACCGGGGTTCCAAGAGTTTCGAAGTTAGGAAGGTTGCTTGGGGGAAGGGACGTGAGTGGCGCGCGAACCAGGGTGGTGTCGAGTTTTGTGGTTGCGGATCGCAGAGCCTGAGTACCTCGCATCCGTAACCAGATCTTGAATGCAACTGTAGGAATTCATTCGCAACAATTTCGGACGGCCTTCGAAATTGTGAGCGAAATTGTCACTGCTATCGTTCTCGTCAGTACAGCAATTTCGCTTGACGAAATTTGTTTCGACAGTTTGCGAAGCGAGCGAGCATCTACTCGGTCACACCCAACCAAAGTTAGGAAGGTTGAGGCACTCGGGAAAGAATATCAGAGAACTTAAGTTCGCATGCGTTAGGAGGAGGGAGTGAACTCGCACGTAGTATTTCCCACGTTCTCTTCTCATACATATTCTACTCCAAATTTCTCCGAGATGGACCGTACCTCCGCTTCAGGCGGCGGGAATCAAGCCGCGTATCCCACATGGAACGCTCCTATCGTCCAGCCGGCTCCGTACCCGCCGTACGCTGCGTTCTATCCGCATCCGTCTTATAATCGACTGCCGCAACCTGTCGCACTCGTGCCGATTCCTGCGGCGCCGTTCGCGCAACAGCCTCCATCGCTCTACCAGCAGCAGCAGTTGGTGCTACAACAGCAGGTGCACCAGCGGCAGCAGGAGATGCAACGTCAGGAGATGCAACGTCAGCAGCAGCAGCGGCAGCAGCAGCCCCAGCCCCAGCAGCAGCAGCATCAGAAAACGCTAGGGAACGCGGAGGCGTTTCAGAGGCTAATGGAGGCGTTTCCGAGCCTGGGGCATAGCTGCGTAGAGCGCGCGTTCCTGGACGCTAAGTACGACGTGAACCTTGCAGCAGCCGTGCTCGCATCGTCGCAAGAACAGCCTGCGACCGACCTCGCTGCTGCTGCTGCTGCCGGTTCTTCTGGTGACTCTGGTGGCGCTGCTGGCGGCACAGGCGCTGCAATTCAAGGCGGAGCAGCAGTCAAGGACGGCGCAGCAGCGCGCCAAGCGCTGGAGCAGGAGCACCGGTGGTGGGAGGAAGCCCCTTTCGCTGCAGCAGGGAGGGCGGCGGGGGAGGTAAAGGCGGAGGGGGGGGTGGAACGGAAAGCTGTTATGCGGGGGAGTGACGCGGCTGGGGAAGATGAGGACGTGTTCGTGTGGGGTGATGGGGGGTGGGAAGCGGTGGACGAGTGCACGAACGAAGCACGAGGTGGGGGGGAAGTGAACAGGCAGGGAGACGCGGAGGGGCAGGAGAAGGGGCGGGGTGACAAGAGGAGGAGTAGGAAGAGCAAGGGAAAGAGCAAAGTGGATGACCTGGGCGATGTGAAATTGGAAGTGGTCGGGAAGGTGAGTCGTGGCGGGGGGGGGTCGAGTGAAGGGGGCAAGGAAACGGCGCAGCGCGACACTAAGAGGAGTAAACTGAAAGCTCCTTCTCCTCAGAAGCCTCAGAAGCAGAAGCAGCAGCAAGGAGGGGAGAGGGAGAAGAATGCTGCAGTGCAAGGGAGTGCTTTAGAGACCCAGGCAGAGCCACTGCGCCAGGCAGAACGCACGCATGCAGCACCTGCTGCCGCTCCTGATGACGCCACCACCGCCGCCACCACCACCGCTGCCGCCGCTGCTGGTCCTGGTGGTGCTGGTCTGGCAGCAACGGGTGACTGTGAAGGCGAGGGGGAGGGCGAGGGCGAGGGCGAGGGCGGGGCGAGCAGCATGGAGTACAGCGATATGGTGGATTTCTTCTACTCCATGCTGGGCAGCAATGCATGCATTGAAAAGGACACCATCAGCTACGTCATCTGTCAGTCCCCTCGCCTTTTGATTTCGCCTCTCCTTATGTTTTGTCTGGCTTTGTGATCCATCCCGCCTTGTTTTTCAACCCAAATCTAGCTTCGCCCTGCCTTGTGGTTCCCTTGACCATGATTTTTCATTTGCACCTTTTTCAAGGTATGCGGGATGGTGGGGCATGGTACTGGAGAAGGGATGGGAGAGATGCCAGAGAGGTGTGCTGTGTGCTGCACAGATTGTACTCGCCTTAGTTCTGACGTGTCTTCATGCTCTGTCTCTTCCCTCTTCCCGTTCTATGCGTGTCTGCATGTTGGTATGGCATCTCTGCTGGCATTGTGCGTCTGGTTGCTGTGCATGCTGCGGAGGGTGGGCTATGGTGATGTGATGGTGGATGCTTGTTCTTGTGTGTTGTGTTTCACGCGGATCATGGTATGCGTGCGAGTTGAGCCTTCTTCACTGCCGTTGCTGCCGATAAACACAGCCTACTACAACGGAGACATGTCTCAGGTCATTCCCCATTTCATACCTTTCCGTCTCCCTTGCTCTCCCTCCAACCCTTCACATCTCCAACTCTCCAACCATCTCTTTGTCTCTTTCTTGCTCTTCCACTGCACACACCACTCTAGTCCATCCGCCCCCCCCCCCCCCCCCCGGCCCCATGCCTCTGCTCCCACCATTTTTGTTTCAATCAGCCCACATTATTATCCGCTGTTTCTTCTCCTCACTGCCGCCACCACTCTACTTAACACCCCTTGACACATGTTCTCGTCTTCCTCTTTCTATCCTCTCACCCTCCGCTCCCCACCTCTCCTCCTTCCGCCTTGCAGAGTCTGGAGGTGCTGTTGGGGCTGGTGGGCGGCCAGGCGGAGCAGGGGGGAGGGGAGGGCGGACAGGGAGGGGGAGGGGCAGGGGGGGAAGCGGGGGAAGGCGGGTGGGGGAGAGCGTATGGGGATGTGGAGATGGAGGAGGCAGAGGGATGGTACCCTGGGGAAGATGCTGCTGCTGCTGCTGGGGGTGGTTCTGCTCTTGCTGGTGCTGGTGGTGCCGCTAGTGCTGACGATCAGTTGAGGACTGGTGGGGTGAGTGGGGAGCAGCTGCAGCAGCAGAAGAGGTTGGGAGTGGTGCAGATGGATGAGAACATGGAAGATGCATTTCAAGCCAATGCTGCTGCGGCTGCGGCTGCTGCTGACGATGCTGCTGCTGATGCAGCTGGTGGGAGTGCAAGGGGCGAGGAGCAGAAGCTGGCCACGCTCTGTGACGCCTTCCCCTACTTTGACCGCGCTGTCGTCGCTGCTTTTTTGGAGGTACGGGGAAAACACGCACACAGCCTTTGCCGCCTTATCACCCCGCTCACAAACCCTCCCCCCCCACCCGCCCTCCCCCCCACCCTCCTCTCCTTGTCTCGTGCTTCAAAGCATCACCATAAGCACCATGCATTCCTACATATCACACAGATTCCGTTCTCCCCCCATGCTGCCCTTTATTAAGATAATTCCTCATCTCTTCCCACCCCTCTTACTGCTCCCTTCCCCGTCCCCACAATAATATCTCCCTGTCTCCTCCTCTTATCTATCCACCTTGCTCCCACTACCCCCTCCATCCACCCTACACTCTTATATACATTTTCCACAGTCTCTGGATGGCGACATGGATGGAGCAGCAGACGCACTGCTGGCTCAGGAGACAGCAGCAAAGGCCGCCGCCAACTCTGCCCCTGCTCCTTCCGCTGCTGTTACGGCCGCCCCTTCTTCTCCTCCTCCTGCAGCTGGTGCTGCTAGTGGTAGTGCTGCTGCTGCTGAGGTAAGAGCAGGCAGGAATGCACGACACCGGTCAGGAGAGAAGAAAGAACAGGTGAGAATGGTTGAGATAGGAGGGATGATGTGTGGGTGCAGGGCGAGGGGATGAAAGGGAGAAAGGGGGAGGGGGGGGGAGGTGGCGAAACTGGGGGACGAAAGTGGGGGGCGAAAGGGGGGGATGAAAGGGGGGGGAGAAAGGGGGGGGTGAAAGGGGGGAGTGAAAGGGGGGGGTGAAAGGGGGGGGCGAAAGGGGGGGGCGAAAGGGGGGGGCGAAAGGCGGGCGGGGGTGGTATGCGTGTTATTACCCTCAGAGAAGCTGCTCGCTACTGCCTTGCCTTGCATCCACCCTATCTTTTATCCCACCCGCACTCCCCTTTCATCCAGCCAGTGTCCTTCTTTCTCCTTTTCAACCGCATTCCCTTCCACCCCTTTTCCCCTTTCCACCCACTTACCCTCTTCAACTCCTTTTCCCTCTTCAATCCCTCGTCCCTCTTTGATCCGTTTTCCCCTTCCAACTCCTTCTTGTCCACCCCTTCCGGTTGCACCCCCGCCTTCTCCATTTCCCGGCCTTGCCTCCACGCAGGGAGGGGGAGTGGAGGAGAGGGCAGTGATGGAGCAGCTACTGCTGCTGTACCCACGGGTGGACCGCGACTCGCTCCTGCAAGTGCTGCGCGTCTGTGGCGGCTCTCTCAGGTGTGGCGGCTCTCTCAGGTGTGGCGGCTCTCTCAGGTGTGGCGGCTCTCTCAGGTGTGCCGGCTCTCTCAGGTGTGGCAGCTCCTGCACGCGACCTTTTTTTCCTTGGTGTGATTACTCACTTCACTTGTTTGTCCCGCTCATCCATTTCCCAGCCCAATTCTTTATTTCACCTCCCTCCTCGGTTCCCCTCTCCCCCATGTCTCCGCAGTGACACGTGTGCCTTTCTTGACAGCTCAGAGGTGGCAGCAGAAGCAGAAGCAGCCGCGCGAGGTCCCAGCACCCATCGCAGCAGGGCACAGGCAGCACAGGGAGCGGGGCAGAGGAGGCAGGAGGAGGTGCCTCTGTGGAAGTGGAGGGTGCAACACAGAGCTGCAGAACGCGCTGCTGCTGCTGCTGATGGTGGTGGTGCGCGTGTCGGCAGTTATCGTGCTGCTGATGGCGGTGTTGGTGGTGATGGTTATGCTGGTTCTGATGGTTATGGTGCTGCGGATGGTTACGCCTATAGGAGTGAGGGTGTGGCGGGTGCTGTTCAGGCAGATTCTGGTGCAGGTAGCAGGCCTCGTGTGATTGAAGGCGCTGCTGCTGCTCCCGCTACTGGTGCTGCACCATGGGGGCGTCCCGCCTCCCCTCCCAAGTCATCCGATTGCTACAAGCGGCATCGCGAGGCGGCGTTTGAGAGGAGGAGGATGATGCAGTATTACTTCCGAGAGGTGGGCGTTTCTTGACAGGTGGGCGTTTCTTGTGTTTTCTGAGAGTTGTAAGAAATACGCACACCTACAATATTCATGGAGTGCTACTTCTAAGAGGTGTACATGCAGGCATCGCCCTGTCCACAACCCTGCTTGCTCAACTCAACATGCCTGAGTCTGTACTCCCGCTTCTTTGCCTCTTGATCCTATTCTGCGCGCAGTCCTCCTTGCCCGCTGCAACCCCTCCCCTTCCCCTCCTATCCTGTCCTTCTCTTCTCTCCCCATCCATCCCACAGCAGCCCATGCTTCTCTCCTCTCGTTCTCCCCTTCCTCCTCCCCTGTCCGTCACCCCTCGCCCTCGTCCGTCCCTTGGTGGCAGGCCAGTGAGGCGTGGAGGCGAGGGGAGAGGCAGCGAGCAGCGGCCCTTGCAGACAAGGTGGGGTCTGGTCTCTGCCCATAAGGTGCCGCGATTCGTAACAACACCAAGTTGCAGGGCACGCATGCTGCATGGTTGATTGGTGGAATGGAAGCGGGGCAAGGCCTTAGCTTGTTGCAAAGCAAGACGAGCATGTTTTGCACACAGCAACCCGTGCGTGCATGTCTGGCCCATTGCAATTGCATGTGTACCTCTGCCCCGAAGCTTGACCCTCCTCCGTTCTGCCATGGCCCAACCTTCGCTCATGGCCCAACCTTCGCTCATGGCCCAACCTTCGCTCATGGCCCAACCTTCGCTCATGGCCCAACCTTCGCTCATGGCCCAACCTTCGCTCATGGCTAAAACCTTCTGCTGTAGCTCAATTGTGGCTTGTTGGTCAAACCCTCTCTCTGTGACTCCTTCCCTCGGTCCCTCTTTCAGGGTCAGAGGAATATCAAGAGGTCCTGGTTAGAACCTTCCACTGTGGCTTAGCTGTGGCTTCTTGGTCAAACCTTCCCTTTGTGACTCCCTCCCTCCGTCCTCCATCCAGGGTCACGAGTATCGGGAGCAATATCAAGAGCTCATGCAGGAAGCAGGGCAACGTATATTCAGGGAAAAGTAAGCAAGCACCCCTGCTGCTCCTGCCCACATGATCAGCTTTCGTCTTGGTGCTTTGTGCATTTGCTTCTCCCATAGCTGATGCCGCTAGCTTGTTCCAAACTCCCAATCGTAATCATGTGGGTTGATTTTGACCGCATTTGCTTCAGGTGCCTGTGCATGTGCGTGTGCCTGCCCATGCACATGCCTGTGCTGTGCACGGTGCGCACTGCAGCACCTGCAATCGTGTTTGCACACTGTTCTTTTACTGCGTTTGTGTGCCTCTACCCGTGCCTCTACCCATGTCTCTACCCGTGCCTGTGCCTGCACCTGTGCCCCGTGCCTGTGTTGTGCGCGCAGCAACGAGCGGCTGGGAAACAACATGGATGTGGATCTGCATCACCTGCATGTGGACGAGGCATTGCAGCACCTGCAGCTGCACCTCACTCTCCTGCAAACCCTGCCCAGTCAGTCCCCCCTCTCCCCGCTTGCCCCTCCCCATGTGCATCTAGAGTCAACTCACATCACGCCGGCCAAGTCAGTGCCCTCCCTGCTCACATCGTCCCATGCTCCTCTTCCCTCCTCGCTTCCATCACATCTCATCTGCCACTCGCACTACCCAGTGCCACTCTCCCCTTGCCTTTCCTCATCACCTTTCCTCGTCATATCGCTCTGCGGCGTACCGACACCCCACGCCACCCCTCTGCACCCCTCCGTCTCTCCAGTCTCCCTGCATCTGCTCTTCTCACGCCTTTCTCTGGTCCTTTCCCCTCCCAAGCTCGTTCATGCTGTGCCAGGAACCTTCTCCCACAGACTTGGTGTGTGGGGGTTTGGTGCTTGATGCTCGTGACTGTGACTCGGTGGGTGCTGTCCTATTGTCTGGGGTGTGTTTGTGTGTGTGTGAGGTGTGTGTATGCATGGGGTGCTGGGGTGCTGTATGAATGCTCTGCTGCATGCATGGTGTCTCCCTGCTGTGTGCAGCTCTCAGCAGCATAACGGTCATCACTGGTAGAGGCAAGCACAGCGCTTCTGGGCAAGCCAAAATCAAACCTGCGGTAAGGTTGGGGGAAAGGGGAAAGGGGACGGGACAGGGGGGGCAGCGGAGAGTGGGAGGGGTTTACTGCACCGAATCATTCCGAGTCTGGCTTTTTATGGTGCTTTGGAAAGGGATGGGTAGAGTTCTGGACGTGAGGCACTTGCTGTGGGTTACTTGCGAGCAGATATCATATGCCTGATTTGACGGCATATAACGCACATGGAGCTCTCGATCTGCTGCCTTCACCTCACCACCCCACTGCTGCCTTCACCTCACCACCCCACTGCTGCCGCTGCCTGTGCGTGTCTCTCAGGTGCACCGGTACTTGCAGGAGAGAGGAGTGGGGTGGCAAGAGCAGAACGCAGGCAGCATCCGCATCACCCGCTACAATCTACCCCCGGATCCCATCCGTAGATGACCACTTGAGTCCATGCACGCCTGTGTGGCAGTTCCTGACGTGCCTCATCACACCGCAACAGGCAGCATCCGCAAATAACCTGCCTCCCTCCCGATCCAATTCTGTAGACGATCACGTCAGTCAGTCCATCCTGATTCCACGCCACCCCATGCTCATTCTGATACAAGAGTCAACTGGATCAAAAGCATTCGCATTACCCGCTACAGCTTGCCTCAAGATTTTTTCACTAGATGATCACCTCAGCAGGTCCATGCACATTGCACTGTGGTTGATTACGAATGGAAGGTAGATAGCGTTGCATGGTTGGAGTCACCGAGTGCATTGCATGGTTGCAGATTTGCTGGTGACAGGAAGACCTCAGGTGGGTGCTATCAGCAACGAGGTAGAGTGGGCTGGTAAGGGTTTGCACATTGCACGTTGAAGTTTGGGCAGCCAACCACGTGAGCTTGTGTGAGGGGCCTTTGACGTGCCTGTAGTACCGTAGATGATCTAATTGCTTGCAGATTCATCCACCCACACAACTGGTCTGCCTCTGCCCAAGCTCACGGTACCGTTCCAGTAATCCCTCAGTCACAATATCCGCTTGTGACTTTTATTGCACAATATCCAAATGTATGTTGAACGTACACCTTCACTAAAAAAATATACTAGTGTGGAAGGGTGTACAGAATTGCATAGCAGGCAGGTACCGCTGCTCAGCACCGAAATGCAATAAAAAAAATGGTAGGTAGGTACAAACAGGCTATAAACCTTCGTAAATCAACCAGAACTTGTATGGTACAGCAGAATCTAGTGGGCCTGCTGCTGCCCAATCAAATGCAGCCATGAGTCGGACCAGGAACCCAGAGAGTCGTTTCTGTAGCTGCCAAGCCAACTAGTCACACAACATGCAGCCATGTGCCAAATCAGGCAGGTGAGAAGTCGAATGACATGCGGCACACACAAGCAGCCACACTCACAGAAAATGGCATGTGGTGAAGGCAGTCCTGAGAGTGTCGCACAAACAGCGGAATTCACCCACTTGAGTGGCTCGCTTGTAAAAGAGTGGAGGGGAGTGTGAGAGATGAGGGAGATGAGAGGGGGGGGAGACGGGGGGAGGAAGTTGAGGTGGATGAGGGGTGAGTTGAAAAGCAGGGAACAGGGGTGGAGAGAGAGAGAGAGGGGGGGAAAACGGAGTGAGACAAGGGGAGGTGAGGGTGGGCGTGAAGGAAGAGAACAAGAGAGGCAGCAGTGATATGAAGGGGAAGCTAGAGCGGGGAAAATGAGGGGAGAGCAGCGGAAATGAAGGGAGAGCGGGGAAAACGAGGGGAGAGTGGGGAATATGAGCGAGTTGGTGAGCTGAGAGATGCGTGACGTTTCTAGGCCAGAACACAGGGGAAAAAAGGGAGAGAAGCGGAAGCACGGGAAGGGAGGAAAGGAGGGGGGAGGGAGAGGAAAGTACGTTTTTAGGCTAGGCCACAGGGAAACAAGGGAGAGAAGGGGAAGCGGGGGAAGGGGGGAAAAGAGGTGGGATAGGGGAGGGGAGAGGGGGGAGGGGGGGGGGGAGCGTTTCTTGGTTAGGTCACAGGAGGGAAAGGGAGAGACAAAAAAGCGGGAAATGAGAAGGGGGAGGGGAGATCAAAGTGTGGCCGCTTCGACTTTTACTTTCCGCCAATCCTCTCCGTCCTCACCCACCTCCCGGCCTCCCTTCACCCGTGCATTCCTTCTTTTCTCCCCTCCACCCACCTCCCGGCCTCCCTTTTTACCGTCTTGCGTCCAGGGTACCATCGACGCGCACTAGAATCAGGAAGATGAAGGGGAGAGCGGAAACGGGAGGGGTAAGCGGAAAACAAGGGGAAAGTGGCAGCTTCGCCGTTTCGCCAGTCGTTACCATCCATTTCCCCAACTTCTCCCCTCCACACACCTCCCGCCCTCTTTTTTCCCGTCTTGCGTCCAATCCCTCACCCGTGTTGTCCAGAGAGTAATAGCGAAATGCGGGACGCGTCTCAAACCTGACTTGTACGGTGTACAGTTTGGTTGGAACGCGAAGTTACCAGCCAGGATTTCCGGATGCACTGTTCATTACCATGGAGGCAATAATGTTGACCATCTGGGCATGATGGTTACCATGGTGGCGATGAGAAGACATCTCTGTTACGATTTGGACACGTGGCTTACCTCGCGTACGATCGAGCTCCATGAGTGTTACCGCTAAGACAAATGCCCCTAAATTACTCACCTATGCTGTACGATTTCCCACAGAAAAACTAATGACCCAACTAAAGATATGCAACGTCAACCACCTCCTAGAAAGTTCGAGCCTGCCCTTCCCCACCAGTAGGTTCAACACACCCCCCCCTGCAGAAATACGCGCCCTTGGCAAATTCGTTTGCATATGGGCAATCCAAACCAATATGCATATGTAAAGCCAACTCTGTACTGTACAATGAATGTACAACATGGGTTGGATGAATTGAATGTTCTGAACCCAGATCAGTACAGGATCACGGCACTCACCTTTGCGCCGTTGGATCGATGTGATCCTGAGGTGTTTGACACATGGACAGATTTCCCGCCATCGCCAGATGGACAAATTTCCCGCGCGTTGACGAAGGCCATTTTTCAGTCACCAAAGTGTTTGCCAATTCGCAAGAATGGCTGGCCTCCTCCTCCAAGCGGATGATGACTTCACAACTGCTCCGTAGCTTGTCTCTACCGCCGCTTGTGTCAGGCCCAGCACAGAATCTTGATTTCCCTCCAACTCATCGCCCTCCATCCGCCTCCTTAGCACTAGAGCGGCTAAAATTGATGGCACGCTTCGGGAAACGAACCGCGCCGTTGGATTATGTCAAACTTATATGCTATAGTCTGTGTAGGCTGTAGTGGGGTAGACTGTATGGGGTACAACATTTCTAGGTTTTCCTACCTGTACCCACCTGATTGCTAGTTCATTTATTCCTCATTCTTCACATGGTATAGAGCAGGTTCCCTCGTGGGAACGCTTCTCAGGGCCCACCACCTAACTCGATCTTTTTTTTTCCTGCCCGAGGCGTGCCCCGTAGGCCGCCCTCCCGTCGCGCCCTCCTAGAGGCCCCTCGCGCCACCCTTAGCGGCCCCGTCGCCGTCCTTAGCGACCCCGTCGCCGCCCCTCTAGGCCCCTCGCGGCCCCTTCACGGCCCCGTCGCCGCCGCTCTAGGCCCCGTCGCCGCCGCTCTAGGCCCCTCGCGGCCCCTTCACGGCCCCGTCGCCGCCCCTAGCGGCCCCGTCGCCGCCCCTCTAGGCCCCTCGCGGCCCCTTCGCGGCCCCGTCGCCGCCACTTGCGGCCCCGTCGCCGCCCCCTCTAGGCCCCTTACGGCCCCTTCGTGGCCTCGCCGCCGCCCCTCTAGGCCCCTTGCGGCCCCTCTGCGGCCCCGTCGCCGCCCCTAGCGGCCCCGTCGCCGCCCCTGGAGGCCCCGTCGCCGCCCTTCGCGGCCACCTCGCCGCCCTTAGCGGCCCCGTCGCCGCCCCTAGCGGCCCCATCGCCGCCTCTACCGGCCCCGTCGCCGCCTCTGCCGGCCCCGTCGCCGCCTCTACCGGCCCCTTCACCGCTGAGCCGCCCAGCAGCTGAGCAGCCGAACCACCCAACAGCCGAGCCGCCCAACAGCCGAGCCGCCGAGCCGCCCAGCAGCCGAGCCGCCGAGCCGCCGAGCCGCCCAGCAACCGAGCCGCCGAGCCGCCCAGCAGCCGAGCCGCCCAACAGCCGAGCCGCCGAGCCGCCCAGCAGCCGAGCCGCCGAGCCGCCGAGCCGCCCAGCAACCGAGCCGCCGAGCCGCCCTGCCGTCGAGCCGCTACTGTTCCTACCGGCGCGCCCCGGCCCTACTTACTCGGACTGGTGAGATCACTCCCTGCTAGGCCACTGCAGTCATGGCTACCCCCAGTGTCCTTACCTTTGATGCTGAGGGTCGTGCTGTTGACTTTGAGGTCTGGGTCGATGACCTCCAGCTGTTCCTACAGTGCGATAGGGCAGACGGACTTTCCCTATTCGATCTCACCTCTGGTGCCTCTCCTGCCCCGCCTGCTACTGCTGACAGCACTGTTCGCTCACAGTGGGTCACACGCGATGCTGCTGCCCGTCTTGCTGTGCGTCGCCACTTACCGACCACTGAGCGTGCGCACTTTAGCCAGTACAAGAGTGCTAAGACCTTGTACGACGCTGTAGTTGCACGCTACTCCTCCCCTGCCACTGCTGCGCTTAGCCGCCTCATGCTGCCGTACCTGTTCCCTGACCTTGCTGCCTTTCCCACAGTCGCTGACCTCATTACGCACCTTCGCACTAGTGACACTCGCTACCGCGCTGCGCTTCCTGCTGAGTTCTGTGCCAAGAACCCCCCCCCCCCATGTACATCACCCTCTACTACATAGTCACCCGGCTCCCTGACTCCCTTCGCTTAGTCAGGGACCACTTCCTCTCAGTTTGCCCCACCACACTCACCGTTGACCTCCTCGAGGAGCGCCTCCTAGCAGAAGAGAAGAGCATAGTCGCTGTAGGAGCCTCTCGTGGTGACCCTCGCACCCCCGTCTTTGAGGGGTGTTCCCCCTCCCCCCTCTTGCCCTCTGTTGCTTCTGCTGCTGCGGCCGACCTC